CAATGGACCTTTATTTTTTTTAATTTATTTATATGTGGTGCTGAGAATTGAACCCAGTGCCTCACACATGCTAGGCAAGTGCTCTACCACTGAGCTACAACCTCAGTCCCTGTAAAACTTTTTTTTTAAAGAAAAAGAAAAGCAATAAGGACTTTATTGTATTTTCTCTTATCCTTAGGAATCCCCATCTTCACTTCTCTGATCATGGATTGAAGACTTCTCCTAGAGGTCTTTTTATCCCTATGGTGGTATGCACTTCAGAGTTTTGGACTGCCTGTAGTCCAGGCCAGAAAATACCAAAAAAAAGAAAAAAGAAAATAAAAAGAAAAAGTAGGAATATCGACACTTGTCTGATGGCATTTTGAAATATGACCTCCTTCCCTGGTCCCCCTGCTACCACATACTTTTTGGAGTCCACAGTCTTATTCCATCTTGTGTGTATAGTTATTTTGAATAGAAGAAACAAGGTGTATTGTGCCTATCACATCTTACTTGAAATTACTTGATTTTTTTTTCAAAGTCAATTTGCTAAATTCGTTAATTTTGGATGTCCTACATATTTTTTAAAAGACCACCTCTTTTTTAAAATAGAAAATAATTAGCATAAAAGACTATAAAAAAAACCATGTGGGTTTTTTTCATGTGTACACAACCCATTCTTTGGGGGACCAACAGTTTAGTCACCAATACCTTGAGTTCACAGTAGTATAATTCAGATAGAACACATCATCTGATAGTGTTAACCCATACCTTACTACATGAAAAAACTGTGAGCCACAGGAAGAGCATAGCAGTGAAAATCAAAGAATTGGATTCACACTTTGGAGAGCTGGCAGTGTGGCATGATTATACTAAATAGAAAAGAATACAGTAATTGTCAGCAAGCTGATCTCTATGGAAGACAACAAGACTTACACAAAATTTTTTAAAAACCATGACTTCTGAATATACTTTTGAGTTCTATTCTCAGGTTTTAAATCTGTTGAATATAAATTGAGCTTCTAAAAGCTTTGAACATCATCAAGCAGAATGGTGATTATTATAAAATTTATGGAGTATAATGGAGAATAAACATGAGTTTGGGTTTCCAATTGGAACGATAGTGCTGAAATCCTGAGGAAGTAACATAATTGCTGCACTTAAAATGCTATCAATGGCCTGAGAATTGAGGTAAAGCTAAATCTACAGGTAATAGATAAACCTAGATTAGAAGACAGACCACTTCCTACTTGTGGTTTTCTAGTCTGTTTCATTTTCCAAGCATGTTTACATTTCCAGTTCCCTATTTATGTTTTTTTGACCTCTTCTTACTTGTTCTAGGTCATGACTGATTGTTCCCACAGGTGCCTCCAGGGACTGGATACATGACCTATAAATGGTGCTCCTGTTGCCTCTTGATTTCCAAAGACTACTACATATTTGCTTCTATCTTTATTGATTAGAATAAACAATTTGTAAACTTTTTAGGCGAACTCTTTGTTCAAATTAATATTTTATGAAATCCCAACATAAAACAGAAAAGTAGAGCTGCTCTAGTTAAAGTTAACCAATCAGTAAATTATGAATTTAATTTTCTTGTTTTATAACTGTAAATCATTTACCCTTTTTTCTAACAAAAGTAGAAATAATTGAATATACTTTGGAAGTAAAAAAAAAAGCATGAGCTCTAAAGTTAGCTATGAGTTTAAATGCCAGCTCCACCACTTATTCACTAAATGTCTTCGGACAGTTACTTAACCTCATTAAGATTAGTTCCTCATCCATAAAGTGAAAGTCATAAGAAATTTTCCTATAGAATTTTTATAAAATATCCAGTTTATATAGAGCCTGACATATAGTAAGCGCACCATGATAAATTTTAGCTATTATTATAGATCGTATTCTGAAATTTTATCATATTGTTCATGTTTTTAAATGTGTTTTTGCTTATTTAGGTACAAATGATGAAAGAGAAATGACATACAAGCATGCTGCTCTCTTACACCTTCTGGTAACAATTAGAGATGTCCTTTTAACATGCAGCTTGGACACAGCATTGGGTTGGTAGAAAAAAATTTATTTACCATTTTCTCCTATTAAAATATTTCATTTAAACCAAAAGTATATATATATTTCATCTGATATAACTTAATTTTCTCAAAAAGATAGACCTCTTAAGAAATTATGCAGTATTCTTTCACCTCTATTACAATAAGCATATTTATATTGTGACATAATTATAATTAAATGTATACATTGGGGACACAGTGCTGGGGATCAAACCTACGGCCTCTTGGATGCAAAGCAAGCACTCTACCCCTGAGCCACACCCCCAGTTTCATTCATATTATATATATATATATACATATATATATATATACACACACACACTAATTATGTTATTTATGTTAATTTTATTTATATATATAAATTCTAATTATGTTCATTAAAAGAAATTGTTTTTAACAAGTATTGTCAACTAGAAAAATAAGTTTAGGATCTTCTAATCTTGGTCTGAATTACAAAGTTCGAATGGCCTTATACAGATTTGATTGCATAATCATTATCATGTATTACTTTTTAATGTGAAGCTTGATATTTTGCCACATACATTGCATGTTTGTGGCTTTGATCTTTGATAGATAAAATATAATTAAACTATCAACAATAAGATTTTTGGTAATTTCTTGTGTACTTGTGTGTGTAAATTAGGATATGAATTTCTTAGATAATAAAAATCAAACTATTGAATATATTGAAAATTTTAAAGATTTTTTTTCCCAAAAATCATTAAAATGTTTTATTGTATTACTGCTTTAGGCTCCTTATTGCAGGATTATTTAGGCTCATGTAGTAATGGTTTGCCTATGGGATTATGTTTTATAACTTAAACCTTCTAGAACCCATTTAAAATATATAGTAAAATTAATATTTTTCTGATTTAAGACCCAGACATTTTCTCATACCTGTGACCCAGATAAAAATATTATTTCTCTATTCCAAACTTTTGGTAAGTATTGAGCTGAGATAAATCACAACTGTACTTCTCTGTAGCACTAGGAACTCAGATATTTTGCTTTAATATTGTGCATTAATAGTCTAACTGTAGAACTGACATTCTTTTATGGAAACTGAGAAATATAATTAAGAAATATGACAAAACAGAAGGGCATATGACACCCCACCCTTAAACTTGTTCCAGATACTTTAAACTAGGGCTATCGTCCCCAATCCTTACTTGTCTAGAAATGGAGATAAAACAACCTTAATCCAATATCAATGCTAAAGTAGTTTAATTGAAGAAGGAAAAACCACCATGTTGATCTTTCTAAAATATATATAACTTAGTTATAATGCTTAACCAGGCATATAATCTGGCCAAATACAGAATGCTCAGTACTTACCAAAATCTTGGATTAGAGAAATAATATTTATGAAAGATTGCTTGGAGGATATTCATCTTTAAGTGCACTACAATTTACCCTGGGATTAAATGAGACCATTGAGCGCTCTCTGTATTTGGAGCTGTATTATTTTTGCTCCTCAAAGAAATATATTTACTAAATCATGCTTTGACATTACTATTTGGCTACCTTAAGGAATACTATAAAGCAAGATTCTTGTTGGAAAATTAATTTAAGTTCTAGGTACAAAGCCATAATGAATATTCTAGCTGCATTGGACATTTTTAATGGAAGATTTTCTCACTCCTCTAAAGCAAAGATTGAGTGTGGGTTGTCTCTCTTTTTTTTCTCTCTCTCTCTCTATTGGGCTGTATTAATCAGCTTCATGTTACTACAATGAAATATCTAAGGCAATTCATTTTGTAAAAATAAAAGGGTTATTTACTTCAGTTTCAGAGATTGAGGCATGGTGCCTACATCACCTTAATTCTTATGAGGGAAGCACATCACCACAAGCATGCATGCAGGAGTGAAATAGTCACATATGGGACTGGAAAGAGAAGTAGGCAGGTCCAAACTCAGGTTTTTTATAACAACCATCTTGGAACTACCCTCCAAAGATATGCTCCCAATGACCCAAAGACCTCTCACTAGACCAACTTCCCAAAGACTCTAAAGCACCTCCAACAGCACCACCCTGGGGACCAAGCCTTTACATATGGACCTTTAAGGACACTCATCCAAGCCATAGCAGTGCATGGGAAGAAAAATGAATGGGGATCTGGTTGCCTTCCCTGTTCACTCCCAAAATTCTATATTTTCTCCCAACTTTCAGTTTTCTACCTCTTCCAACATAGCAAGGTGATGCGATGAATTTTACAATATTTTACATGATATTTAGAAATATCACATTGGTAACCCATAAATATGTGCAATTTTCTTGTTTTTATGTATAAGTTTAAAATTAAATTTTAAAATGTTTTATTCATCAATATCTTTGTTTAGTCAAAATCAGAATAAAATTAAATGAAATTTTTAGTGGCACACTCATTTCCTCCTAGTATTTTTTTTTTAACTAGGAAGTTTCTCCAAGAAAAACAGAATTATGCAATTTTTTAAAATTTTGCTTTAACAGGATACTTGTCAAATGCAAAAGATGCCTACAAAAGCATTTTAGGTTCCTATTTGGATGACATTTGGAGACAGCTGAAGATTATACAGATTATTAGGGGGGAAAAGCCTGAAGCAAATTATAAAATACAAGAACTGCAATGCCAGATACAAAGTTGGATGCAAAATCAGCAAATTAAGGTTAAGTACTGAAATGAAGCAAATAAAAGGAATAAGTTTAAATAAGAATTGGATGTAACAATTTTTTGCATTAAATCTGAAATTATGAAATAGATTATACTATTTGGCCCTTTGATAGTTTTATTCTTATAGTACAGAACAAAATCAGCCCCCAGAGAAAGGATGATTTGAATCATTATTTATATGTCTTGAATTTTAAAATACTTTAATATTAATTATAAGCACCTTTCTATGGATTGTTTTTCCAGTTGCCAAAAGTCCATGAATATGTATGTGTGTGTATTAGAACTAAATACTTTATTTTTAAGACATTGAGCCATAATCTCATTTGATATAGTTGTACACAAATAAAACACTTAGTGCATTTTCTTATATTGAAAATTATTTGCTTACCCTACATTAAGCATGTGAAGGCCACATTAACAAAGACTTAAGACAAGATGATCTTTTAAATTTTACCAAGAAGAAAGACATTTCAAATGCTTTACACTAAATCTTACCCAAATTTATATGGGTTTCATCTTCTTCCTCCTCTTTGTGTGTATGTATATATTTACATTTTTTTTAATGTGCTAGAGCTTGAACCCAGGACCTCATGCATTACTAGACAGGAACTCTATTACTGAGCTATATCCTCAACCTTCCCCCTTTATCTTCATCCTCAACTTTATTGTTTCTTGAATAACTTTCTTTTTTAAAAAAATATTTATTTTTTGTAGCTGTACACAATAACTTTTATTTATTTTTATGTGGTGCTGAGGATAGAACCCAGGGCCTTGCATATGCAAGGCAAGCGCTCTACCGCTGAGCCATAACCCCAGTCCCTCTTGAATAACTTTCTTAAGTTATTAAACTAAATCAAAAGTTAGAAATTTAAGATTGAACTAATTTGCTGTTCTCCCTCCAAAAAAGAAACTATAATGGTAAATAGGAAAATAAACCAACCAATTGTTGATTTTCTCCAATAAAGTCTAACCTGTCTGGATTGAATTTTAACACTAATAAAATAGGCAAAGACAACCTATGAATAGATAGTCATATATGTGGGAATACTTGAGGAATGCTAATAATAGCAGGGGCCAGTGGTGCATGACTGTAATCCCAGTGGCTTGGGAGGCTGAGACAGGAGAATTGAGAGTTCAGAGCCAGCCTCAGCAATGGCGAGGAGCCAAGCAACTCTGTGAGACCCTGTCTCTAAATAAAATGCAAAATAGGGCTGGGGATGTGGCTCAATGGTTCAATCCCCAGTACCTAAATAATAATACTACTACCTACCCTAAAATATTTTCCTTATTGATGTTTGATGTAGAATTTATTATTTTATAATAAATTTATTAGAATTTATTCCTTTGCATTTAAGCATTGACATCTTCTACAACACAAATATTTGCTTTGTAGTCTCATCGTCATTAGTTTCATGAAACCAGTTATGTTTGTTATTTTGTCACTGTAGTAAAATAATTCAGATACACAGTGAACTTCTTATTTTTGACTAGGTGCTGATTATACTAAGAATGGATTCAGATGGTGAAAAACATTCACTTATTAAAATGCTTAACAAAATAGAAGGTAAGAACTTTTAAATTATGCTCTGTTTAATAACAAATGCTTTAACATACAAAGATTGTTGATCAAACCAGCTTTTTAAATTAAAATATAACTGGGTTGGGGTTGTGGCTCAGTGGTAGAGTGCTTGCCTAGCATGAATGAGGCACTGGATTCTATCCTTAGCACCACATAAAAATAAAATAAAGATATTGTGTCCACCTAAAACTAAAATAAATAAATAAATATTTAAAAAATAAAATATAACTAACACATTATAAAATTAATCCCTTAAAAGTACACAACTCAGTGGGAGCCTATCCAGTTTTTAAATTAATCAAGACTATAAGTCTGCAATACAAAAATACTACGGTATGCTTATATCATTTATTATTAATAATTGATACCTTTTACTCATTACCTACTAGTTGCTAAATAATACTGACTGCTTACAAGAGCTCTCTGAATAGTTTTTTTTTCAATTAGAGCATCATTTATACATGGTAATTGCGTTCATATTGACAAAATTGTACATTCAAGGAATTTGAATTTGAGACCCATTTCCATCACTCACTTTTCCTCCCCTCCTCCCTCCTCTATTCTATTGAACTTCCTTTCTTCTACACATATATAAAAGTGAAATTCCCTTTGGTATATGAGTAGGTTTTATTAACTCAGTTTTATAAATTAAAAAAAAAACAGGCTCATAAAGGTGATATAGCATGCCAAATCTCACAAGTAATAGTGAGAGATTAGGATTTTAACCTAGTTTTCTCTTGTTTCAGTGTCATTCTTCAACTCTTTACCTTTCACTAACAATTCTGTCAACCCTTCTTTCTTTGCTTAGTGAAACCCATTGCTTACATGCAAACTCTTCTTTATCTCTCTTAACTGAAACCCAATCTTTCCCACATGTTACTGTTTCCCTTATGTCCTTCTGATTGAAGTGATTTTTTAAATCTATACTTCATGAGAATGAGAAGGTTGTTTCTTGATTTCTATTATCATTTCCTCCATTGTCTGAGGCTGAGCCACACTGCTATATCATTCTCTACCACTGCTAATTATCATCATCTACTAACCACCTGATCATGTACCCGGCTCATAGAATTCTCTACACTTCTAATACTGCCATTATCCTGGGTGTTTTAAATGTCTTTAATGTGAATAATTCATTCAAAACCTAGGCCTTATAGATTCATTACTCCACAACAAAAATTATATTCATCTTCAATGCTGGGAATATGGGTTCATATTCACCAAATCCATAAGATTCTTTTTAATAACATGTTAGAGCAAGAGTTAACCCTTGTCTAGAATCAGGGTAATTGGAAACACTTTAAAAAATCAGAAAAATTTTTGATCAGCGTTAGCCTTATAAAACCAGGGGTTTGGGTAAATAAAGGAATGTTTTTTGTGAAGAAGCTGAGTACAACTTCCTGCTCCACTGAGAAATATACTTAAAACTACTATGGATCAGCTTCTCTCCTTTGGAGTCACTTAAGATGTTGACAGATTATTACTGTATATCTTTTTTTATCTAGGCTTCGTGATGAACACCTTCATTTGGTAGTTGGGAATTACACCACACCATTTTTGCTCTTCATTTCAACAATGTCTATTGACACAAAAATCTTGAATCTATAAACTGAAAAAATGATTTTACTGTCTTCAAACTAACACACATCCAGGTTTCTAGGACCTAAGCTTTATTTATTTATTTATTTATTTTTAGTTTTAGTTGGTTTCTAGGACCTAAGTTTTATTTATTTATTTATTTATTTTTTAATTTATTTTTATGTGGTGCTGAGGATTGAACCCCAGGCCTCATGCATGCTAGGAGAGTGCTCCATGCTGAGCCACTACCCCAGCCCAAGTCCTGGGCTCTTTTTTTTTTCCCTATCTAGTTTTAGGGAAAAAAATGTGATTTCATTTTCCACGTGTTTGCAAAATCTAATAATACAGTTACTGAGTAATCTAAGGATAATAGCTAATATAAATTATTTAAGCAGATTAGGTTTTAAATAATATTAATCACCTTATGAATTGTAAAAGAGAATACTCATTCCTACCACTACCAAAATTATTGTCATGTCAAGTAAATTTACATATAATTATTAGCCATTACTCTGTCATTACATGACACCTTTGTGAACCTTAAGTTTAACAAAAGTACACTCAAAGGGAGTAAAATTAATTTGAACTAGATTTAGCTATTCTGAAATTAGTTGTCTACCAAAAATAAATTGAATGTAAGGTTACAGAATATTTTTATCTTTACATATTTTTAACCCTAGTAAAATAAACTAGTTAAATTATAATTAAGAAGCAGGGGTGAATCTAACAAACAGGTAGTCTCCAATAAGTCTTCTGCTGCTTATGCAGCTAGTAGAAAGTGGGGGAGCATTTATATCACATTGAAATATAGTCCCTTGCTATTTAGTCATACTTAAATTCTTGGCTAGAGGAAAAAAAAATCTAGGGGCTTGAGGTATGGCTCAGTGGTAGAGTGTTTGCCTAGCACATGTGAGTCACTGGGTTTGATCTTCAGCATCACATAAAAATAAAGAAACAAAATAAAAGTATTATATTCATCTATGACTAAAAAATACATATTTTAAAATTTCTTTTTAAATTCTTGGCTGGAGAAAAATTTATGATTTTTAGCTAATAAGATTAACTGTATAATTAATGAGTTTTAATTTGGTTACTTTTAAATTATGATCAACTTTATTATTTCATATAAGAAATCTAGACTTTCCATGCACTCACTCACTCCATAAACACACACACACACACACACACACACACACATACACACACACGAAATAATTACTTAAGGTTTGAACTTTCTTATGTTAGACTTCAAAAATAATGCAGTAAAGTATATTTTAAGCAATTTCCTTATTTATAAATGTTTATTTTTATGATGGCGAAATATCTGACACCCTAAAAAATGTTTATGAGCAAAACTCTAGTTAAAAAAAAAAACTCTGTTGAAAAAAACTCTTTTTTTCCTCAACAGGTTTAATATTGACTATCTCTCATTCAAATAAAAGAAGAGATTTTCTGGAATCTAAAGATGTTTTAAATGGGTAAAAATCTATTTCTTTGCCTATGGGGAGAAAACATAGAAATAATTTATCTCCATGGGAAAAGCAAAATTTCTCCTAGAATTTGGGCTGGGGATGTATCTCAGTAGTAGCTCACTTGCCTAGCATGCAGAAGGCCTTGGGTTCAACCTCCAGCAGTAAGAGAAAAAAAATCACCTAGAATTTAACTTAAGAAGTATAATGAAATCTGAAATCGGTCAATGTCTCTGCCCTTTTCCTGAAAAACTCAGATCATAGTATTATATGTTATATGTAATTAGCGTTCAAAATATTTTAGCAGCCCCAGATACCATTATTATTGTTCTTAGTACAGAATTAACTGTTTATTTTTTCCACTTTTTTATTGGTGCATTATAGTTGTATATATTGATAAGATTTGTTGTTATATATTAGTATGTGCACACAATAAACAATACAGTTTGGCCAATATCACTCCCTAGTACTTACCTGTTCCTTCGCTGCCTCCCACTCTGTGGTCCCTTTCCTGCACTAATCTCTGTTTGATTCTTATGAAACCCACCCCACCTTTGTTTTCCTTTTTCCTCTCTAAATTCCACATATGAGAGAAAACATACAACCCTTAACCAATTGAAAATGCCAAAATTTTGTTTTTATTTATGGTTGAATAAAACTCCATTGTGCATATATACCACATTTTCTTTATCCATTCATCTGTTGATGGATACCTAGGTTGGTACCATAGTTAGGCTGTTGTGAATTGTGCTACTATAAACATGGGTATGCATGTATCACTGTAGTATAGAGACTTTACTTCTTCAGGATAAATGCCAAGAAGTGCTATAGCTGGGTCATGTGGTGGTTCCATGCTTAGTCTTTTGAGGAGCCAGAGGTTACCTATTTAAACTTACCCTTCTTTTTACCAATTTCTTTGTTCAGTGTTGGTTTTTTTGACATCTCCTTTCTTTCTTTTGGGTTCTTCTTTCTCAAATTCTTAAGTGAAGGCCTGCTAATAATTAATCTGACTTTTAAAATGTCTTTATTTTGCCTTATTTAACATAGAAATTCTGTATTTCTAATATTTGGAACCAAATAATTAAAAGAGATACAAATCAAATAGAAACTCATAAAAACTGGACATAATTTTTTTTAACTTCTAGGTTGCTCTAGACAGAAAGCAGTAGTAGACAATTTTAATTAAGTAGATGCTATGATATATGAACTTTGAAGATGCAAAAGCTAAACTTGTGATATTTAAGTGTCTACATTTTTGTTGTTAAAACATTTATGAAGCTAATTGAGAAAAAAATGCCCCATTTCAGAGTTGTTAAAAATATTATGTAGATTTTCAAAGATGAAAACCTTACTTTTGGGGCTGGGGTTGTAGCTCAGTGGTAGAGCACTTGCCTAGTATGTGTGAGGCACTGGGTTCGATCCTCGGCACCACATAAAAATAAATAAATAAAGGCATTATGTTCATTTACAACTAAAAATATGTTTTAAAAACTTACTTTTGATTGAAAATGAGATCAATTTCTCATATTGATTTCTGAGATTGATTTTCATGTTGATAGTACCAAGGAATAAAATCAGGATCATGTTTTAGGTGGGAAATAGTCTATAGTTTTATGTATTCTGGCATAAGAAGTATGATCATCAAAAGAAAAATAAGAGACTAAAATAACTAAAGAAGAAATGAACAGAAAATGCCTATCTTGAGTAGGTATAGATTAGAAGATAGCCAGAAAATAATCATTTTTAGCATTCCTCTTAAATAATGATACAGTATAATCTCATTTTCTTGGCTTTCTTTTGTCTTCAGTGCAAGTTCCTGTGTGATTGTACATAATAAAAATATTGGAGCAGATTTTCCCTGGAGCAATTTCTCAGTTGTGATGGAATACAATTATGTAGAACACTCTTGTTGGTCTAAACACTGCAAAATATTGAATATTCCTTATATGGCCTTTAAAGTGATTCTTCCAGACACAGTTTTAAAGAGTAAGGATATAAATCAATATCCTTTTTTGCTCCATTAGAATGGAAACTTTCTGTTTTCTGTTTATAACCTATGGAAAGAAAATAAGCTGGCTGAAAATATTTTATAGTTATGTAAATTTAAATGTCTTTGATTACTTCTCTTTTTATATGTGAGTTGATCTTATCTAGACATTCTTTTATTAATTTCCCATTTAAGTCCTTTGCTCATTTATCTTTAGGGTATATCTATTGCTTTGTAAAATGTTTTTCCTATGGTTATTGTACATAACCTAAAAATTTGATATAAACCACCATATACTTATATAGTAAATGTCCAACATATACTTACATGAATAATGAAGGTTTTGGCATTTCAGATAGACAATCAGCCAATTTTTCCTTGTTTTTTTTTAAGCGAGTATACATGTATAAGTATAGGCAAATAAATACATATAGAAACATCTAGAAATATATACTAAATTATTTTTAGTATATAATAGTTTTAGTGAACTAGCTCTACTAACTCTTATTCCTAGGTAGAAGGATAACATTGTCTTTTATTTTCTTCTTCAGATCTTTATTCAGATTTCTTATAGTTTATGATGAATATTATTTTTATAGTACTCCTTATACATAAAATTCATTATTTTAATATTCAGAAAAAATAGAAAGAGCTGGGGTATGAGAAGGCAAAAAAAGAAATACATATGCATTTTCTCTTATTTAGGAAGCATCTTGCCAGATAGATTTGGTGGTTTTCTTCTTGAAATTCAGATTCCATATGTGTTTTTTGCATCTGAAGGAATTCTTAATACTCCAGAACTACTTCAGCTGCTAGAATCTAAGTAAGTTCATAACTTAAGCAAACATGTATGTGTTTATATTGATAGGCCAATTATTATGCTCTATATGTAGCTCTATATCTGATCTAAACCTGGAATTATATCATATAAGAATAGTTTTTCAGAGTTTGTTTATATATCTGCTCTAAGACTATACCCTCTAATTACTGAATATTGTCTTTTTTGGTAATATTTACCAATTTTGTTGACAAAAAGTAAAATTTAATTGTTACTTAAATTTACATTTTACTCTTATTTCTTTTATTACCAGCAAATATAAACATGCTATTATTCTGTGAATGGGATGTTCAGATCTTTGGGTCATTGACAACATTAAGAAAATATTCTTGTCTGGGGAATTTAAGTACTACCTAGGAAACAGGCTCTGAGGTTCTAAATAAATTTTTTTTAGATCTTCAATTCTATCATAGCACAGAAGTTGTCACAGGAATGTTGGACCTTGGGCTGCATATCAAGGAAAGATAATTGAGTTATTTAAATTGTAGATCAATGTTCCATGCTTTTGTTTTGATATCTTAGGCTGTGGGGCATTCATAGAACACCATAAACTTATAAAAGGTAGTTAAAGTGTAGGTAATAGCCGGGGGTATAACTCAGAAGTAGAGCCATGCTTTACATTTATGAGGCCCTGGGTTCAATAATAGCAGCCACCTACCCTAAAAATGTAGGCCAGTTTAAAGGAAAAATAAAAGAACATTCTGATAAATGGAAAATGTTTTAGTCTCACAACATAATAATTTCATTTCATGAATTATTACCTAAAGAGCTAGAATAACTTGTTCAAGACATTTATGATGGTATTGTGTGTCATAAATATCTAAGGCAGAATGTATCTCAACTAGTTTTATATGCTAAATAAATCATAATTTCCTTCCTGAAATTTATCAAGTAAAATAAATTGATGTGTGAAATAAAAAGCACAGTAATTTAAATAATGTAATATGCAAGAGGACAATAAAACTTCTCTTGAAGAATTTTTCTTAGCCATTTCATTTGTTCACCAAAGAATACTGTATTTTGTAGCTACAATATCACACTCATGGAGAGACCCTGCAGTGAGTCATTGAAACTCTTTGGAACCAAAGAAAGTTATGTAGTGGTGACAATTGATGAACAGACTGCCATAATTTTACAGGTAAAACTATGCAGTAAATGACATAAGCTATGTAAAAAAAATACACTAAGATACATATAACTGTGCAGTTTGTTAATATATTTTATAGGAAAAAACTCTTAATCTATTAGTGATTTCTTCTACATTTTGCAAATGGGCCACAAGTGCTAAATTATTACTATAGAAATTTACTATTACCAAACGTCTTCAATACTTTATAATTTTTAATATAAATTTAAGAAAAAAAGTAAATATAAAATCTTTAATATCATATATTGGCCTGTTTTTAAATACATTTAAGATAATTATAGTATAGGAAGCTTTAAAAAAGAAATCCTAGCCACTGTGATTCTTACAAGAGGGTAGTATATTAATTGATTATTGGTAACATGGCATTTCCTCTAAGGCAAAGAGGGATTGCCTCTAAGCAAGTTGGTTTTTAAAGAGAAATTTTCTTCAAACATACATATAGTTTGGAACTTAAGATGTATAAATCATTGGCAGACTCTCACTTTATGTGTGCTTGACTGGAATACCAATTGGAAAGAAATTGATTTAATAGGGTAGGGGTGTGGAACAGAAGTCAGGTTTGATGGACAGTATAAATTATTGGCAAATACATTAAGGTACAGTCTTGATGAGGAAAGTTTACAATATAAGAATTATATGATAGAAAAACAATTCTGTTAGATTTTTAAAAGATATTGTGTCATGTATATTTAAATTCTTAAACAATTACTTTTCCATCTGGCAAAACTGTTTGAATTCACAGTTGAATATTGTCTGAAGGACAATTTCTGAATTACTCACCCTCTCAAAAATTACTCATGTTAAAGGAAAAGGGAATTCCAGACCCTTAGGTAAGAATTCCTAGGAAGTCTATTAACTGCTGCCTTCTCATTTCCCTTGAGTAAGTATGCAGTGCAGTTATCTCATAGGTTTTTAAACATATTGTCCATTGTCTTTAGAGTGCCCAGATCTCAATCCACAAAAGATATTTCTAATACAACGGCCCTCTATATGCTTCTTTCTTCATAACTATGACTTTGGTAGATTCATGAACCTTTCTTGCTGAAACTCTCATTAGTTATTTTATGTCAAATACAACTACCCCTACTACTTTCAGTGTGATTTTAATTTTTCCATGAAATGGGAGCCCATAGCTGTGCCTCTTCTTGAGTTATATTTATATATCATATGTTCTACCAGGGATTGAACTCAGGGGCACTCCGAGTGCCTCTGAGCCACATTCTCAGCCCTATTTTGTATTTTATGTAGAGACAGGTTTTCACCTAGTTGCTTAGTGCCTTGCTTTTGCTGAGGCTAGCTTTGAACTGGCGATCCTCCTGCCTCAGCCTCTGGAGCTGCGGGGATTACATGTGTGCGCTACCATGCCCAACTATATCATATGTTCTTGAAATATGACAACACTAATTTTGTAACAACTATTCAACCTAATGAATCTTTATTTTCTGATAGGACCTAGAAGAATTGAATTATGAAAAGGCATCAGACAATATCATTATGAGATTGATGGCATTATCGTTCCAGTACAGCTATTGTTGGATCATATTATATACCAAAGAAATATTAAATTCAGAGTAGGTAAACATTTCATCCAAAAATCATGTTTATATTTCTTATTACTCAGTCTTTTTTTTTTTTTAATCTGAGAATTGAACTCAAGGACACTTAACCTCTGAGGCACATCCCCAGCGGTCTCCCCACCCCCACACACCCCCGCCTTTTTTTACCCAGCCCTTTTTTGTATTTAATTTAGAGACAGGGTCTCAAAGAGTTTTTTAGGCCCTCACTGAATTGCTGAGGCTAGCTTTGAACTCATAATCCTCCTGCCTTAGCCTCTTGAGCTATTGGGATTACAGGCAGTCATTTTCTTTTAATAGAGATAGCTATGCAAATCTTGCTCACCTTGTTAGTGCAAAAAAAGACCAGGAGGAACACAAACTAAACAAATCAGCTCAGCACTTTATTCAGGAACGAAGTTTCACACAGCAGCATAGGATGCAGGAACTGAAATGACACCGTGGTGGGACCCACTTTCCTGTTGGAAAATGAGGCCCTTAACAAAGAAAGGGCCTGGGCTTGCATAGGTTATTCTGAGAGGTGGTCTAGTGAGCATATCAATTTTCTTTGGGCACCCAGAAATTTGGAGTTTGTTCTATCAATCAGTGAAGGGATCAGTTTTAGTGTGAAATGGGAGGGATTCTAGAGTCAGTGGTCAGTTTCCGGGATTTATCTTACTGGATCTGATGGAAGACCTGGGGTTAGTGGTTGGTATCTGGAAAGGATTTGTTTACAGAAGGATTAATGCTTTGGCCTCTTCCCAGAGACTGCCTTTCCAGGTTTGATGGACACCTCTTCCCAGGGTTTGTTTTATCACTAGAAAAAAATCTATTGGGAAAGGATCAATGATCTCAGTGTATGGCTTTCCTTTTCACTCACCTTTTCCCAGGTTTCACTACTTTTAGGATTTGTCATTTCCATATCTAATACATCTAGTTTGCTTTAAGTCAGGAATTCTCAAGATGGAGAATCAGAGGAAAACAAATTTGAATTTTGGAGATGATACATGCTAGATATACTGTGTAAATTATCCTCTCCTTCCCACATGTCACTAATAAATCCTGCAATTATGTGATCTTCTGAGATAGCTTTATATTCACAATATAAAGAGTTATAATTTATTCACAATGATGTATTATTATAAAATGTAATTATTTCTCAAGCTTCTAGATATCTCAGTTCTATATTTTTAGATGATTGGAACATTTAGGAAATGTCTTAATCAATTAACCAAATGAGGAAAAATGAAAATACAGTAGAAATGGTTTGGATTATTTTAGTAGTTCATGCTATCAGTTCCTGTTTGAGGAAGAGTCAGGGGTATACTTGAGAACATCCAAGGTTTGATGGTTTGCTATGAGTATGATTATATGATGTTATAATTTATTGTAATACAAGCTTACAAAGCCTCATAATGCAAAATAAGCAAGAGAAGTTCAGAGGGCACAATCTAGAGAAATCTTCTAGTTTGCTCATATGTGCTTGATTTCCTCAATAAAAAACTATGACAACCATAACCTTTTGTCTAGCAGGAAAGCTTATTAGAGACACAGTGCCCAGGGTTTTGACATGTCAAAGTTCCAAATTCTAAAAAGGAAAGAGAAACCAAACTGTTTGTACAAAGTTTAGGTACAGTGAGCCAGTCTTTCTATGATGTTTCCAGACATGCTTATATTGTGCATTGATCACTGCCACACTCACTTTTACCTTTTGTCTTCCTCTTTTATAGACCCCTCCCCCAACTCCCTTCTTAGTCCCTAGTTCCTCTTCTGCTTTGTTTTTGTTCTTTTTCTTTTTTTTTAGTTTCTGTAGTAGAGAAAAAAACATGCAATACTTGTCTTTCTATGTCTGACTTATTTTTGCTCAACATGATGTCCTCCAGTTCCATCCATTTTCCTGCAGATAAGAGAATTTCAATTCTTTATGACTGAATAAAATCATATTTTCTTTATTCATTCATCTCTTGAGAGGCTCCTGGTTCCATAACTTAGCTACTGTGTATAAAATTATGATAAACATAGGATGCAGGTATCTCTTTTGTATGTGGACTTCATTTCCTTCAGAAATATACCCAAGAGTGGTATAGCTGGATCATATGGTAGTTCTACTTTTAGTTTTTTGAGGAACCTCCATATTGTTCTCCATAGTGACTGTACTAATTTACAGTGTATCCTTTTTTTTTCACATCCTTGCTTTGTTATTATTTTTTAAATTTAAAAAAATTTTTTTTAATAATAGCCATTCTAATTGGGGGTATGGGGGGGAGATGGAATCTCAATGTGGTTTTGACTTGCATTTCCCTAAGGGCTAAACTTTTGGGGCATTTTTTCATATATTTGTTGACCATTTGTAGTTCTTCATTTGAGAAGTGCCCATTCAAGTCATTTGCCCATTTTTTAAATCCTTGAGCCAATAAATGGATGAGTTAAATTTCTTCCTTCACCCCAGACTTCTCCTCCCAACACACATCCTCAGCATCCCCACAAGTCTGGTAGTAATGGCCTAGCCAGGTTATTCTATTAAAACTATGTAATGTGGAAAGAAAAGAATATTTGAAAAACACAATCAGGTGTCAAATGAGTAGAAGTGTAGTAATATAATTATTTTTAGGTACCATCTTACAGAAAAGACACTTCATCACCTAGCACTGATTTATGCAGCTTTGGTTTCCTCTGGGCTTAAATCTGAAGAACTGGATGTAAAGGTATTATATTCCTATATTTTTGTTCATAAACATTTTTCATAAACAAAACTTGAACTCAACTTGAACTCAAGTGACTATAAATAGGCAAATTAAAAGCTGCTTAAAAGTCAAAAAAAAAAAACAGCTTCCAATTAATAGGTTTATCACCTAAACTTCTGTTTTAAAAACAGTTAGTTTAGTGAACTTAAAATCAAATCATATTTCATTTCTTAATTGCTATTTAAATTTCTCTTAAAACTTGGCATGATATGAAGAACAATATTGCTTGATCAAAAATGTCCATATGTTGTGTAATGGATATCTTTATAACGTATGAATAGGAGAATACATTGATGGACACAATACCTTTATTTATTTATATGTGGTGCTGAGGATGGAACCCAGAGCCTCACAATTGCAAGACAAACGCTCCATCACTGAGCTACAACCCCAGCCCCCATTTATAAGTATCTTTATTTTTAACTTTGGTTTTTAACAAATACAGCACTATATTTTAAAAATTCTTTCTTATATATATATTCTTTTTCCATATTTTATTGGTGCATTATAATTATATATAATGGTGGAATTTGTTATTACAAATTTGCACATGCACATGAAATAACAATGTAATTTGGTCAATATTATTCCCTTGTATTTTCCCTTTTCCTTTCCTCCTCCTTTATGTTTAAAATTCTTGTTTTTAGTTGAGAATTATTAGGTTTACTTTAAAAAAAGCAAAATATTTAATAATTCTAGTGATATTCAAATTTCTTTTTGCAATAAAGATGAAACATAACACTAAACATGTTTTTAAAGACTTTATTAATAAATGCCAAATGGAAGTGAAAAGCAATTTTATTCCAAAAATTAGAAAATACCAGGAAATGATATTTAAGGAAGGAAAGAAAATTGGCCCCCCTCACAAATTAAATGACCTGGACTGCACAGATATATTAATAGAGTATATCTAAAATGGTATTAAAATTAAGAATCTACTATTTGAAAAATTCTCTTTTAATTACAAGTTATTGTAGATGGTGCATTATGATTCCTAGTATTTCCTATAATCTAATACATTAAAAATATATTTCTAGCTTATAATTGCCCCAGGAGTAGAAGAGACTGCATTAACAATTCGACAAATTGCTGATCACAATTTGATGACCTCAAAGAAAGATCCTTGTGAATGGTTGGATAAATCCTGGCTTGAAGTTTCACCATCTAAGGTTTATTTTTATGGCTTAAACATTTGCAAAGCAAAATATAAATACATGTTACCTGAATTTCCTTCTTGATACTTTTTTTCCCAGGTGTCTCAAATTCAGTAGTACATTCAATGACAAAATTTTAATCTGCTGAAATGAGTAGAATAAAATGGGTCACTTTCAAAAGATTGCTGGCTAATCGTGCCTTAAATTCTTTCTTAGGAAGAAATGTACTTACTTGATTTTCCATGTATTAACCCATTGGTGGCTCAGCTTATGTTAAATAAAGGGCCTTCACTGCATTGGTTATTATTAGCAACTGCATGTCAACTTCAGGACCTCCTACCCGAAGTTCCAGAAAAAGTGTTAAAGGTTAGTTATTTGAGATGCATATTCTTATATGAGTTTATTTCCTTTCCACATAAGTATCTAATCACAGGAGTTTTAAAATTAAGGTATCATACTGACTTTGTTTTGAACTTCACATAGTAAAGAAATAATTTATTTAACTTTCATATAGATTTTCATTAGCTATCAATCACATCATAAGACTTTTATAATACTTCAATAATTTATCACATTATTTCATTTTGAAGTAGCATTAGGTCCACAAATATTCAATTAGTTATATATTTATATTACCTCTTCCAAAAATCATGACATCCTTCATTATAGCAGTAAACAGAACTTGAGCCTTATTGGTAATATTTTAAAAGTCTTACCAAGAAAATAGTATTCATGTATAACTTGTGTAACTAAAAATTCTATTGTTGCTGTGAACCTAAAACTTCTCTAGAAAATAGTCTATTAAAAAATTTTAAATGATTAGAAAATGAATGCAAATTTTGTTTTCTTTTATGAAGCCTAATTAATGTATGTTCCTGATAGCAAGGATCAACGAAGTATCTATGAATATAATAATTATATTTTTCCTTCTCTACATAGAGATTAGAATTGTTATTTATGTTTACTAGGCTGATGTTTATATTACGTTGTATTGATTATTTTTTAAAATTTTTTAGCATTTTTGTAGCATTACTTCCTTATTCAAGATTAGTTCTTCCTCCACAACAAAATCACCTCAAATTTCATCACCTCTGGAAGAGAGTAATCAGACTAGTAACTTTATTCCTCAGAGTTCATCTTTGGTCTCTTTAGACTCTGTAATTCAAGAATATAATGAATATTACCCATACGCAGACTTAAGAGAGAGAGTGCAAGAAGACACAAATACCACCTCAAATTATAACTCTTCTCTTATGGAACTAAGAGAAATGCCAGATACTTTGCCATCTGTGACTTCTTACAATCAGACTAACTATTGGAAAGGCTCCAGTTGTAGCCCCAACATAGTGCAGAATAATCCTTGTCCAGATAATATAAAATCAAAGAAAACAGCTCTTTACTCCTTTCCAAACCAGAAAGATTCCAAGTCAGATGTCTTTTCTTTGGGCCTAACACAAATAAATTGTGAAACTACAATATCACCAATTGATACTCAGAGACGAGTTGCCCCTAATTTTATAAATTATCAGAAAAACAGAGCACGTGAAGTCAAAGGAACCACATATAAAGAAGTATCTGCTCCAGTCCTTTCACTGGAGGGCTCTCAATTGTCTCCTCGTTGGAACTTACAGAGAAATGTATACGAAAAACAGAATCACTCATTCAACTTAAAATATGGAGCAGAGCAGACTACCCATGACAAATGGTATACTCACAAAGATAATTTATTCACTAATCAGCAAAAATGTTTATCAGATGAATTAGAAGGCTTCACATGTGAAAGTTCAAATGTTGTGACTAAAAAGACTTTATGGAGAGAATCGACACCTGTTTCCAGTTTTGATTTACTCGGTGCTTCTGATTCTAATGTGAATAAAGAATTTAATAGCCTTTATTTCTACCAAAGAGCTGGAAAATCTTTAGGACAGAAAAGGCAACTTGAATCTTCATCTTATGTGGAAGTCAAGGATACTTTAGCAGGTAACACTATCCAATAGTTGATAAAACCACTCTTATTTAATTAAAAAAATAAAACCATATCCAAATTTTAATAATTTTCTTATTTTAATTACTACATTGAAATTCTCTAGTAACTTTTGAGTCAGAGAAAAATTAAAACTTTTGGATCATAGAAAATAAATACATAGCTGGGATTGTGGCTCAGCAGAACACTCACCTAGCATGTGCGTCTGAGACCCTGGGTTCAATCCTCGGCACCACATAAAAAAATTAAAAAATAAAATAAAGGTATTGTGTCCAACTACAACTTAAAAAATACATTTTTTTAAAAAAAAGAAAAGAAATACAAAGAAGGTATGTCAAATTCTTGTTTTAAATGAACTACACATTAATTATAATACAGATAGATTCTCTCAAGGTACACAGAGACCAGGGTACATCTTTATTTAAGGTTCAGAGTCCATCAGGGTAAACTTATAAGTAGTTTTCTAATTCATGGGAACATACTGGAAACCTTCAGGAATTAGAGTACCTTTCCTGAGCTCCTTCCAAAATCATTTTGGATTAGATTTTACTTAAAAATATTAGAACCAGGGCTGGGGATGTGGCTTAATAGTAGAGTGCTTGCCTAGCATTGCACAAGACCCTGAGTTCAATCCCCAGCACTGCAAATAAACAAATAAATAAATAAATTAGGAACCAGCAAGAGACCTTAGAGATCATAGATAGTATAATTTCAGAGAAGAAGACATTGAAATTCAGGGAGTTCTATCTGCACAAGGAATATGCATACTAATTTTTGATACTGGGCCATTAGGTAGGTGTATGTATATTAAAATGTAATTTAAAAAAACTTATAGATGGACATAATACCTTTATTTTATTTATTTATTTTTATGTGGTGCTGAGGATCCAACCTAGTGCTTCACATGAAATAGACCAAGTGTTCTGCCACTGAGCTACAACCCCAGCTCCTAAAATGTAATTTTTAATTGTTATTATTTATCCCCATTTGGAAATTGTTAACAGTGTAGATAGATGACAGACAGGATCCACTTGTGCTGCTGGAAAAAAATAGCTACACTTTACTATTACATGCAATAAAATGGTTTTCATTTTCCTCTTTTAACAGGTTTAATGTGCTCACAACCATCACCACTCAAAAAACGACGTCTAATGTATGAAAAAGTCCCTGGAAGAATCGATGGGCAAACCCGGCTGAAGTTTTTTTGAAAGAGGGAAAGAACAGTGTTATATCCCATATTCTGTGACAATTCAGACAATTCTGTAACAAAACTAGTTAGATTTGCTTATACATTAAAGAAAATTTACTTATTTTTAGATGTTCTCAGTGTTTGTGTATTAAATTTTCATAACATATATTCTTTCTTATAGTTTGCATCTTTGTAAGTAAAATATTCTGATGTATCAATTAGCATAACAATTACCATAGAGTCAAAATGTCTTCCAGATTCACTTAACCATCATGAGCCTTTTAATAAGTCCCTATCACAGTCTTACCCTTTGGATCAAGAAGAGAAGTTCCCGTTTTAGTAAGCTTTTTGCTGGTGTGACTAAATCACCTGACAAGAACAATTTTAGAGGAAGAAAAGTTTATCTAGGGGCCCAGAGGTCTTAGTCCATAGACAACCAGCTGCATTCCTCAGGGCTGGAGGTGAGGCAGATCATCAGGCAGAATGTTGCACAACTCCATTTTTTTTTAAGATACCTTTAGAAATTCAAATTTGTTCCAAAATGATAGATACATTAGGGAACAATTTGAGTATACACAAATATCAAATTTTCTGATGCATGATTTTGTTCACCAAAAAACACTAGGGAACTCAAATATTGTACCCAGCTGAGCTAGGTAGGAATACAAAAATACTCACATCACACACTCTATAAGGTCATTGAGCCACACCAAAAGTAGCTCAGTGCCACATCTGGTGCTTCAACTTTGACTAGATAACCCTCTTTCTACCACCTCACAATAACACAGATTTATAACTTGGCTGGGCAGCCCCAAACCCTCCCTTTCTTCACCTCTCTCTCCTTTCCTCTCAGTTCTTTACTGTTTTTCTCTTCCTGTTTCTCTACACACACACACACACACACACACACACACACACACATTTCGTTCTTTTCCTTGAGCAGAAAGGGTTGTAGGCATAGGAGTTAGGCATGCTAGCCAGGAGGAGAGTGGGGCCCACAGGTCCACAAACCAACATCAGTTTTTTCCCAAGACAAAGAGTCATATTTATTACAATTATGTTTTCCTTAACCATTAACACATAAAACTGAGCTATTATTTTGACTGGATTCCTATCTTTTTTGTCACTGATGAAATTTGTGAGTGCTCCATTTTCCCATAAGCCCTGTGGTTTTTGTGATTTCGTATAACTTGCTGAATTTTTGGAATGTATATTTCATATTCAGGCAGCTCTGACTATATGTATATCCTTCTTAGCAACTGCTTTATATATCATGCCACAATATATTTAAGCATTCTTTCACAAATGGCCTTTTATGTTGACTTCAGTTTGGGCACCAAAAAATATATGAAGAGATACATCAAACTTTTAACAGTGGGCGTTAGGATGAGAATAAATACAAAGTCTGTCATTCTGTATACAGGTGGGTATATTCTGCAGGTACAGCTGCTGGTTTAGATATATGACATAAGAGAGAGGACTCAGGAATAACACCAAGGTTTTTGGCCTGAGAAGCTAGAATGATACTGTCATTTACAGATATTGGGGACACTATGAGAGTATAATTTAGAGAGAAGATCAGGAGCTGATTTGGGGGCAAATTAAATTTGAAATACTTACTAGACTTCCAAGTGGAAGGCATTTGAATTATAAAAGTCTCAAGTTCAATAGGATATGTAAATGTGGGAAGTACAAATTTGAGAGATATCAGGTATAGGTAGTATTGAAAACTACAAAACTGAATCACATTACCAAGGCAGCAAATTCTACTTTTAAATTTTTAAAAATAGAAAAAGTTCAAGGACAAAGACCTGTGATAATATTTGAGAAAAATGGAGGGAAAATGAAGGAAGATTGAGAAGGAGCAACCAGTGGAGGAGGAAAATTCAGGAGATTGTGATGTCATGGAAGCCAAATGAAGATGTTTCCAGATGGAACCATGGATTGTGTCAATTGCTACTGACAGATCAAATGAGAGGAGGAAAGAGAATTAACCACTGGATTTACCAAAGATTAATTAAGATCATTGATGATTTTAGTAAGAGCAAGCAATGTATGAAGGAAGGGTGGAGCAAAAGCCTGATTAGAATTCAAGAAAAGGGGATTCAAGAAAATAAAGATAGGAAAAAAGAGGTGAGGAGTTTATACAACTCTTTCTGGAATTTTTGCTGCCTAGGTATTTAGTTAGAGAAAGAAGTCAAGAGTGTATTCTTAAGATCCAGGTACCTCACCATGTTTGTATGCTGATGGAAAAAAATCTAGCAGTGGGATTTGGAAGTTAATGGAGGAGGAGAGAGAGAGGGAAACAGGCAGATGTGGTGAGGGAATGTGGACATTCTCTTCTGATTGCTTCTAATTTTTTTTTCCTATCAGTTTTTCTTTTTTCTGTATTACATTTTTTGGTTTGGTTTTTTGTTTTGTTTTAAGTTGCCCAGGCTGGCCTTGAACTCCTGGGCTCAGGCAATCTCCTGCCAGACTCCTCAGGAGCTAGGACTATAGGTACATACCATTCTGGACACTATTTTTCCCCCAACTCTTGTACTGTTGCTACATTTATTACAAGTATTTTTATAGTCTTATCGTGAAGTAAAAATGGGATTTAGTTTCCATTTTCATTTTTAACTACCTATTGCCAGTTAAAAACTTACTTTTGTATGTATTTTGTACTCAGCCAATGTACTAAATTCTATTAAAAATTTAAGTATTTCTTTCATTTTCTTGAGTTTCCTGAAATGTTTACACCATTCCATGTTTTCATCTTACCATAGTAAGATTTCCAAAGCAATGATAATAAATAGTGGTGATTAAAGACCTTCTTGTCTTGTTGCTATTGGGCTGAATGCTACATTTCCCCATGCAATATATGCAATATATTTGTTGTTGATTTTGATAAACTATCTTTATCATCTTTAAGTAATTTCTTTTTACTCCTATTTCTCTAATCAACTTAGTTTTACTTAGAACAAATACTGAATTTTATCAAAAAACTTTCTAGCATGAATTCCCTTCTTTATACTATTCATGAAATTAATTACATTGATAGATTTCCCTATATAACTACCCTTGTCAGGTGCTATATTTTTTGATAAATTACTAATTTGATTAATTTATATTTAGGACATTTTCATCTATATCCATAAGTGAGATGTATATGGCATCAAGTTTTTGCTGAAGGGGAAAGCAGAATCAAAGAGAGAATTTTATTTTGATGGAGATTATTCTATTCTCTAAAGAGAGTAGAACATGTTTAAATGATGATAGGAAGGATGAAATAGTTAAAGATGAAGGAGAGAAAGGGAAATTAATAGTATTAAATTTTAAAGATCTAGAGAAAAACTAGGGGAGAGAGAACCAAGGGATATCTAAATTATGATGCAATGGAAGGGATTCAGGTCACTCAGATCTGAAAGTTTAGTGGCTAAAAGTTAAGGGAGATCCCATCTAATGGCTTCTACTTTCACTACTGTAACACTACCTATTCTCAAAGATATTTCCACTTATTTATTATTGGTTTATACATAGCTATTTCAAAGAGCAAATGTTGTTAGTAATTATTTTTCTAACTCTATATCATGTACAACCAGAAGAATGAGAAGTTATACTCCTTTTATATATGAGATGTCAAACTGCATTCTGTCATGTATAACTAATTAGAACAAATGAAAAAAAATTTTTAAAAATCTGTAATTATAGAATATATTTAGAAAAGAACAAAACCATGGCATTTGCAGGAAAATGGATGGCATTGGAGAAGATAATGCTAAGTGAAGTCAGCCAATCCCCAAAAAAACAAATACCTAATATTTTCTCTAAGGAGGCTGACTCATAGTGGGGTAGGGAGGGGGAGCATGAGAGGAATAGATGAATTCTAGATAAGGCAGAGGGGTGGGAGGGAAAAGGAGGGGGCAGGGGATTAGCAAGGATGGTGGAATATGATAGACATCATTATCCAAAGTACATGTATGAAGACACGAACTGGGTGTCAACATACTTTATATACAGAGATATAAAAATTGTGGTATATATGTATATTAAGTATTGTATTGCAAAAAAAAAAAAAAGAATAGCATTACCTTAGATTAGGTAGAGGGAAGTGAAAGGAGGGGAAGGCAGGGGATGTGGGGATAAGAATGATAGTAGAATGAGGGCTGGGGATGTGGCTCAAGCGGTAGCGGGCCTGCCTGGCATGCGTGTTGCCCGGGTTCGATCCTCAACACCTCATACAAAAACAAAGATGTTGTGTCCGCAGAGAAAACTAAAATATAAATATTAAAATTCTCTTTCACACTCTCTCTAAAAAAAAAAAAAAAAGAATGATAGTAGAATGAAGCAGACATTATTACTTTATGCATATATGTGACTGTATGACCAATATGATTCTACAATATGTATACTCAGAAAAATAAGAATACCCCATCTATGTGTGATATATCAAAGTATATAAGTGCATTCTATAGTCATGTATAACTAATTAAAACAAATAAGAAATTTTAAAAAAGAGTAATGCTGGTAAAAAAAAAAATTTTATATATACATATACACTTTTTAGAATGTTTATTAAATTCTACAAGGACTTACAAAATTTTTACCTCCCACTTAAAGCACTATTCTCACAAGCAAATAGAAATCCACGAATAAAAGAAAAATATCAGACACAAAAGTTGCTGTCATAGAAAATGATGAATTACACAGAATTTATTTCCAAGATCTTCAAAGATTATTACAAACACTAAGTATCCTTCTAAAAGTATCCCAAATTAAATCAAAGGCACATCATCAAACCCTTGTGACATGAAGAATTCTTTTAGGTCATAATATTTTCACATAACTTTGTTTTCAATCATTTGCAATGTTCTGTATGTAGGTCCTACTTTAAATATTTTTTAAAAGGCATGAAATAATGTAGTATCTTTTTAAAAGTACAACCACAACTATAAAGTAAAGGAACTTAAAAAGAGATCAAATCTGCTTCATACATAAAATGGGACAACCTAATATATATCATAACATGAATCTTTCTAAACAACACCTCTTGTGTTAAATAAAACAATCTTATTTAGAAAAAAATCAAGGCATC